TCCTGTCTTGTCATTGAAGCGGAACACTCTGGGTCTTCACAGCATGATCAGATTGCTCACTCAGGACTGGCTGGCTGTTGTAGGACTGGCTAGCTTGTGCCTCCTGTCCTGCACGATCTCTGAGAATTGTTTTGATTTCTGCCAGTCCCAGCCCGGCCTGGGATGCAAGATGTCTGGAGATGCATATGCAGTCAGTTCTTCTTCTGAATAGTTCTTTCCTTCCAGATGTTGGCCCTACCACTCCCGGCTGCCTCAAACCCCTCCCTTCTGCAAGACCTAGGACCTTGAGCCAGCCCTAGGCATAGGTGTAGGGCTTAGGTCTCATTTGCTCACAGCCCCAAGCTGGCCGACATCTGATGTCTGGATAGCAGTCCCTTCTTGGACAATGCCCGGCAGCCCAGTTGTCAAATCTGGTCCTTGTTACTCTAAAATGATGAGCTTTTCAGAAATCCTTATTTTCCCAGTTCCCAACTTATACTGATCGGATCAAGTTTCCAGAGCAGACGGCCATGAACTTGAGCCCACGGGCCAAAACCAAGTTGCAGTTTGTTTTGGTATGGCTGGCAGGCTAAGAATAGTTTCTGTATTATTAAGATAGTTATAAAAAATTCTTGGCTGACTCCTAGAGGGTCTGAGAACATGGTTTTTTTCTCTCTTTTTAAGACTTCTTCATTTGCAAGGCAGGGTGGTACACCGCGGGAGAGAGAGTTGAGATTGTTCATCCACTGGTTCATATTCCTAAGGCAACATCTGAAAGTGAGTCAGGGCAGAACCAGGAGCCAGGAGCTTCTTCTGGATCTCCCGCATGGGCACGGGAGTCCGAGGACTTGGGCTATCCTCCACTTTCCCAGACCACAGACAGGGAGCTGGATGAGAAGTGAGCAGATGGGACTCAAATCCCTGTGCTCTGAGGTGGGGTGCCAGGGTTGCAGACAGCAGCTTAACCTACTGTGTCACAACATGCTGGCCTGGAGAACCTAGTTTACATCTCAATGCCAGCTGGTGCAGGTGCACTGGTAACTGGGATCACTGGAATGATGGAAAGAATATCACTTCAACATTGGGTTTTCTTGCACAATCTTGGATAACTGCTCTTAATTGTTTCTCAAGAAAGTTTTTTTTTCAGTTGTAAATTAGGATACTAAACATGCAGGAAGGAGGCAGTAGGTGAAGCATCTGTGACACCGCACAGGCTGGACATGGCTGGTTTTAAATACACTGAAAATAAAAACCCTTCAACGTCTAAGACTCCTTTCTCTCGCTCTGTGAACGCCTCTGGTCTGAGTCATGGCGTGCCAACTACTTCCACCAAAAATGTGTTCATCTGCCCCATCCTTCCCCCATCGCCAAGGCCTGTGACACACCTAGTCCTTCCCCCAGACAGCAACCTATCTGACCTACTTAAATGTGTCAAGCTCATTAAACACACTCTCAGCTTCCCATGTCACTTCCTCTTCTTTAGGTTAATGTACACCTAAACTTACATCTCTTCAAATGACACAAATGCAATCCTTTCTAAGACTTATTTTTTATTGGAAAGTCAGACTTACAGAGAAATAAAGACAAAGATCTTCCATCCGTCGGTTCACTTCCCATTTGGCCAATCTGCTGCCTCACAAAAATGCTGAGCTGATCTGAAGTCAGGAGCCAGGAGCTTCCTCCAGGTCCCCTACACGGGTGTAGGGTCCCAAGGTCCTGGGCCATCCTCCACTGCTCTCCCGGCTCACAAGCAATCTTTTTGACAATCTTGAATTAGGGCACAAAGGGTCAAGGGTTACAGGAAAAGTGGGTAAGACTACTATTTCCACTTTTTTTCCTGTATCTGGTAAAGGGGGAGATAAAGGGAGAAGCTACACCCACCCTCTCCCATCCCAGGTCCCTGATGTGGGGCATGCTCCGAGGGTTCTGCTCAAGTGGTTTTGATAGTTCAACAGTTATGAATTGCTGCCAATCTTGCCATTTCAAGCACGATGAAGTCACTGCAGAATCCACTGATTGACACAGTCCACCTTAGTCTCTGTTTGCCCTATTTTTCATTGTCAACATATAGCTGAGGTAGTTGATTTTTTCTGTCCTCTGTTGTGGTGCCAGGTGTCCTCTGCAGGTTCTGATAGACTGCCATATCTTCCATGTGCACCTGGTTATGCTCTCCACTGCTCTGTCTGAGCCTCTGAGGCAGATCGGCTCTGGCACTTGCCCTCCATGGCAGACCATGGAACCTGGCACATCTCTTCATGGTTAGGGTTCTGGGTCCAGCAGTTCGATTGGGGAGATCCACCAAGAAACTTTGTCTGAGGTGATCTCAGACCAGATTCTTATCATTTTCACTTTGTTTCACAGGCAGAAAGCACACCGAGAGACAGGGTTGATATGCTATCCACTGGTTCTCTGCAAAGGAGGCCTCCAAGCCGGAAGGGCTTGAGCACCTGTCTTCAGAGGTATTCTTGGATGGCTGTGACTACCCTCGGAACTCCCAGCCACGAGGAAGCAGTTGGTGACCATCTGGGCAAGCTGCTCTGCCTGCTGTATGCTGAATAAACTGCTGTCAGTGTGACCTCCTCAGGTTCCCAATACAAGTACTGATCAACTCTGAAAAGTCCCCAGGGATCTGCTGCTCAGCTCACTTGGTGGTTTTCCACCTTCCTCAAGATGTGTGAGGTTTAAACCTTGTCTTTTTCACCAAGCAGACTCTGTGATCCTATCATCTAGACCAATTACTTGGAAAATCTGAGTCTTGTTGCCTCCATGTATAGACAATAATCACTTCCTGCTCCCCAGGACTGCTGACATGGAGACTATTTTCTAAGCAGTAAAATGCTAGGCCTCAGTGTGAACATGAGTGCCATCTTTATTTTTCTTAAAAGTATCCTTACAAATAAAGTAATATTTAAGATAGTTCACAAATTAATCCTTGTTTCCACTGCCATCTTCAAATACTAAAAACAACTTGGTAATGGAGGCTGGGTTACTGAGATGTAAAGCTAAGTGCGGTAGCTGGGACACAAACCGGTGTCCATTCCAGCGCTTGTAGACAGAGCATCAGTCAACTGAGCTATTGTGCCGGCCCCCTCCTCCTCAACTTGTGGTTAAGATTCAAAATACCATCCTTCTTTCTGCTCTTGCCACCCACCCCCTAGAGCCCGAGTATCTTCACATCGCTCATTAATCCTACCTTCCCCAATAAGCCAAAGAACACAAAGTACCCAGCCCCCAAACCAAGGGATTTCATTCCAAGCAGACTTGCGTTCAAGTATTTTCACAAAATGAAGCCAAGATCTTATCTGTTAGAAAAACTATACTAGGAGACCAGGCCAAGTGAAAAAACAGGACAAAATGATTAACTTTGAGTTGATTTGATTTTCTGAGGATATTTTAAAGATTTACTTATTTTAGTTGAAAATCAGTTACAGACAAGGAAAGGCAGAGATCTCCCATCTGCTGGTTCATATTCCAAAACGCAAAGAACACAACCAGTCTGAACCCAGGAGCCAGAAGCTTCTTCTGGGCCTCCCATGTGTATTCAGGGCCCAATGTTTGGTCCATTCTGCTTTCCCAGGCCATTAGCAGATATCTGGCTGGGAAGTGCAGCAGCCAGGACTCAAACCAGTCCTGGCTGGTTTGAGCATTAAAATGTGGCTGAGTTTTAACAGATACTGCTGTGATTCGTGCATCAAACTCCCTGGGATGCCTGTGAACTAATGGGAGAGCTGAGCGGAACCACATATGCACAGCTATACTCAAGTTCCCCGATACCCTTGTTCCAAGTGGTGACATTTCACCAATGGGTCTATTTTATAGAAAAACTCAGCACATGTAAAGATTCTTTAACTCAAAAAGAAAGTTATGGCTCAAATGTGTGGGGGCAAGCTGGGGGAACAATAGCTGTCTCCAAACTGATAATCTTAGAATCAGGAGTGTCTACATAGTTGAAGACTGAAAGGCCAAAACAGTTGTGGGGGAAAAAATACTAAAAGCTAGTTTCACTCTGGTATAAAGCAACTCTGAAGTCCACGCCTTAAAGGGTGCTTCAAAGTGTCCATGGAAAAGTCTGTACTATGAAAAAAAATGGGGGGTGGGGTGGACTATACATCAAAGCAAATAAAGAAATAAAAAAAAATACAAAACAAAACAACAACCCTATGCATGGTTGTTCCTAACGCTTTTCCATGGAATTTTTGGGCTGTCCTCCACTGCTTTCCCAGGCCACAAGCAGGGAGCTGGATGGGAAGTATAGGGCACCGGGACATGAGACCCCAGCACTTGCAAGCTGAGGATTTAACCACTGAGTCATCACACCAGGCCCTAAATTTATTTTTGATTTGGGATACTTTTAATATATGGTGAGTCCCTGGAAATGTTCTCCAGTCCAAGTCCACAAACATCTGTATAATGTACTCATCAATGGTTGGCACAAACCTTAGAGCCACCACTAGTCTCACATAATGACTCTAAAAAAAATGAAGTGAAAGTTTATTAGCTTTGCATAAACCACTGCAAAATGCATTCAGTACATATGCAAAATTCCTTCAAATGCTTTATTTCATGTAGTAGTAGGCTATTGGTTTTGAAACTGATAATACTTTGCAAGAAAACCCAAATGCTTAGAAATGAAACCACCACCACTCAGGAAAATATAACTAAAGAACATTTATTTTCCACTAAGAGTTTGTCCTGAGGACATAACTGAGCCACCCCCCATCCCGTCTCCAAGGGTTAGTATAGTGACTGTTACAAAAGCAGATCAACAGTCTGAAGTTCTGGAACCAATATTAACTGACAAAGAAAATCTCCATCTAAATCCTCATAAAAATGTTTTCAGTAAAAAAAAAAAAAAAACAACAAAAACCAAAAAAAAAAAACCAAAAAAACAAAAAAGAGGCAATAGGGGTTGCAGATTGAACAAGAGCCTCACATTTCCTGTAATACATTCAATCCTGACTAGAGTGTAACAAAATGGAAACCCCCACTACAGCTCTGTACACATGTGTGCTCCGAGCCCGCCCCCAGCCCACGCTGCGGCGGCTCCATCACTTCCCCGCCTGCTGGGCCTGCCGGCGGAGCAGCACGTAGATCTTCTCTTTGATCCAGTCTTTGTTATAAGGCTGGTACGTCTGGGTGTCAGCCCGGTAACTGAGGAGAAGAAAGGTAAGAAGCAAAGTTAGAGCGGTGACGTACCGTCACGTGCTTCGGCCTTCAAACCTTAACTACCCAGGACACAGGCGCACCTCTCCCACGCACGAACCGGAGATCAACCGGTGCAATCCTGTGGTGGAGGAGCCGCCAAGACCCAGGACTCTACTCCCTGACCGAACATGGCCAGAAGCCACATGCTCTTTCTCTCACACAGCTTCTATTTTTATAGCACCTTTCATGGTTAAAAGACAAACACTACAAAACATTAGAATTTGCTAACTTTATTCTGAATCACCTAAGAAACCTTTACACACGTTACTGCTACAAAGATTTTGTGCTTTTCTCACCCAGGTAAAGTACCAAAAAAAAAAAATTATAACTGTGTTTCAAAATTTGCTTATTCCAGCAAGGACTCAGGCCTTCCTGAAACAAGAAATGCCTCCAGAACTCAAATTCAAAACAGAAGCAGTGCAGCTGACTGGAGCCAAAGGGAGGCCACAGTGACAAAGCAAGCACCCAGCACCTCTCACTGCAATCACAATCAGCACTTGAGACTTCTAGCTGTGGGCACCACCTGCTGGGCACACTGCAGCCAGGGCCCACTTCATAGGCCTGCTGATAAAGACATTTAAGGGACACTCTAAGAAGCAAAAGAACTAATTCCTCAAGTATTGTCTTGTCTCATTTTTTAACCTCTCGGCAAAAAATCATATCCAACTACAATCGACATTCACAAATAACATTTAAAAAATTAAGATGTAACCAGGCATTAAGTATTGCTTTAATCTGAATTAGTTCATACCAGCCCTTTTACATCATCTCCTTGTAATGAAGGAGGACACTAATGTTCAAAGAAATGGAGCAACTTAATAGCTAAATGACACTGGACACGTGGGGGAGTTTAAACACCCCTGACTCCAGGGACCTCACTGAAAATCTAGCCAGAAACCAACACTCCCAACTTTTGGCCAGGAGAATAAATTCCCTAGAACTGCTTCACACAAGCAGCAGCACAGGCTCCCTCCAGAGAAGGGCAGAATCGGCTCGGTTAAAAACGCACATTTTACAAAATGGTTGGCCAAGTACACATCTGGTTTTTACTAATGCTCTTTTTAAAGTAAAAAAAAAAAAAAAACTCTAAAAAATGAAATAATTTTGACTCTCCCAAGCTTCATACTTAAATAAGTACTAACCTACTATACTTTAAGGTGTGGCAAGACAGACTATAATATTGAATAACAATGGACATAAATGAAAAGGAAATAGAATTTCTCAGAATACCATTTCTGGTGGGAAGATCTTATCTGGGCCATTGCCTCTCTCTAACAAGATCATCCAAGCTCGTAAAAAATCTCAACTTGTATGCTATTTTCTGACGCACAAAAGAGTAATACCCTCTTTGTGGCAGGCTATATGTTGATGACTGATAACACTTGAGAAAGTGACAGTAACAAGTGCATTAATAAAGTGCCCCGCTGCTGGCAGACGAGCTTCACAGCTTACTGCTGTAGGAAAGGGCAGACGCCACAGCCTGAGCAGTGAGGTCAGCAGTGCCCTCAAGAGCAAACTGTCTTCCTGAGTGGAGACCTTCTCATCACCTCAGCCTCCTGTCTTCAAGCACACCTGCACATTAAAGGCTCTTAGTTATTGGAAACTCAAAGACTAAAAAGACGTGCAAACAATCCATACTGTGTGCGAGCACACAAAATGTAGACCGTGCGTGCCATGCACGGTCAGTCTGCCCTGGGTTTAGTCATGTCACCAAGTAAAACTGTACCTCCACTGCTCACCTGGGTTTTCTTTCTCTTTAAAAAAAGTCTAAGGGTCATGTTCCTATATACCTGACAGAAGCCTTGAGGACACAACAATTTACAGACAGCAGGCTCCATCCGTGGCTTGAAAATAAACAGTTCAAAACATAATTTACTTGATTCAAGAAAGCAGCGGGATGAACTACCACAGAAAGCCACAGCCACAGGTGACGTTTTGGAAATAACTCAAATGGGATAGAACCAAAGTCATGTGAGAAAAATGGTTCTAAATCCAATCCTCAAAGTTTTTAGAGGTCACAATGTTTTTCAACATTAAGACACACGGTAGGTATAGTACAGCAAGTTAAACTACCACCTGCAATACCGAAATCCCACACTGAATGCCTGCCTGGCTGGAGTCCTGGCTACCAGGCTTCTGATCCAGCCTCCTGTTAATGCATCCCAGAAGGCTTATGTGCTTGAGCTCCCGCCAAACATGTGGGAGCCCAGGATGAAGTCCTAGGCTCTTAGCACCTGCCTGGCTAGCCCTGGGCATTGCTTGGGGAGGGGATCAGCAGACGAAGATCTCTCTGAAGTAGAAGATAATAAGTAAGTCTTTCTCTTGTTTTATCATTCTGCGGTATCTGGTTATATTTAATCTAATCTCTCTCCATTTTTAAAGATTCCCTTATTCTTACTGGAGAGACTGACAGAGAGAAGGAGATGCTGAGAGAATGATCTTCTGTCCGCTGGTTCACTCCCTAAGTAGTTGCAACAGCCAGAGAGAGCGCTGTTCCAAAGCCAGCAGCCCTCGTGGGTACAGGGTCCCAAGGCCTCAAGCTGTCCTTGGTTGCTTTCCCAGGCCACAAGCAGGGAGCTGGATGGGAAGCAGGGCTGCCGGGATTAGAACCGGCGGTCATATGGGAACCTGGCATGTTCAAGGTGAGGACTTTAGCCACAAGTACATCGTGCCAGGCCCAGCTCCTTTATTTTCTAATTTACTTGTCTATTTGGTATGTCACTTCCCTTGTAGAACATATAGTTGACCTCCCCATCCCCAGGGTCCAACCAACTATGGGGTCAGAAATATTTGGGAAAAATAAACTTTGTAATGAACAGGTACAAACATTTTTTTTTTTTATCACAGTTCCCTAAACAATACGGTATAACTATGTCCACAATGTTACATGCCAGCTTATGTGGGAACTTGAGCATCTGGGGGTGATTATACTGGGCCCCGAAAGTATTAGTGACAAACGTGCCAGGTATACACGTAGCACTCAAACACTTGCTGACTGTGTGTGCTTCTATGAGACACGTCAGAAGAAACGCAGACCAACTACCGACACTCACCCATAGCTCTACTAGAGGCTCACAGCTTTTGAAGTTATAATAAAGACTTTGTAATTTGCACATCTCATTAATGACCAAAACCAGATCACCTGAATGATCTGGGGAAGCAAAGCAAAATGGCTTCAACACTGAAGAGGCACGGACAGCAACTCAGGGCAGGTATTTGGTCCAAGAGCTAGGAAGCCTGTGTCCTACACCACAGTGCTGTGTTCCAGCGACCCACGTGTGACATCACGGGGAGGCCCTGTCTGCCAGCTTCGGCCTGGCCCAGTCCTGGCGGTCATGGGCATTTGGGAAGTGAGCCAATGGATGGGAGCTCGCTCGCAAATAAATAATCTGAGGTGAATAACACAACCTGTTATTCTCCTTGGTAGCAGTGGTAAAAATTAAGGGGGAGAAAGGCTCTAGGAGATGAAATTTCTTTTATCAGCACCCTGTGCACAGTAACTATACCAATCAGTAAAAGTTTTCCAAATGTTCCTCTGCTTTTGGCTTTACGTACTCAATTTAAGATCCATGGCCAAGAAATATTAGTTACTCAGTGTGCAAAATGCGGAGATTGCTCTCACACAGTGAGCCCTTGCCACCATCCCTCACCTCAGACAGACAAGACAGAAAAACACGAGTGAGACCACGAGGCAGCTGACACTTACACAAGGCAGCTGAGGTCTGCCAGATCGTCGATAAAATCAAATAACTGACTGATATCATATGTGATTGATGGACTGTTGGGATTCATTCTTTTCAGATGTTCCTCGTACATTTTACAAACACCTAGGACGGGGAGAAAAACAGTAAGATCTTACAATCACATGAACTTTCAGATGAGCAGTTAATACCACATTAAGTCTGATGACGAGCTGGGCTGGAAAAGGGACAGCAGGATCAACACCTTTCCTTCATTTGCGCCACTAGCAAAAATAGTCACCAGACACAGAAGTTAACTCCAAACTGCTGGTGCTTAAAGGATTTTATAGATGTCACCTAATGATTCCAACTGTTTTGAAATGTTAATGCAACAAAACACTCACTCTCTCTCTCTCTCTCTCACACACACACACACACACACACACACACACACACACACACACGGAAACCAGCTAAAGGACCGTACTAACACAGGATCAAGATCCAGCACTGGGACTGGGAGGGACCAGAATTCCAGCTCTGCCTTTATCAATGAAGAAACCTTGGGGCAAATGACTCCATTTCACGAGCCTTACTTGTCACACTATAATACTTCTCCATCAGCTATTACTGAAGATATTATGTGAAACAACAGACACAGTCAGCACAAGTAATGAGCATGTACTCACTCAAACAAAGGATAATGAAATGAGTAAAACCACTGCTGGCAAGCCTACAGCGCTGCATGATTATCTAAAGAACCTATTAGCTATTTAACTTATTCAGTGAATCATTCCTTTCTCGTCCCTAATACTAACTACCTTTTTTGTTTTTGAAGATTTCATTTATGTGAAAGTCAAGTAAATGAGATGGAGAGAAGTCTTTTCATCTGCTGGTTCACTCCCCAAATGCTGTAACGACCCAGGCCAGGCCAGAGTGCAGCCAGGAGCCTCATCTAGGCCTCCCACAGGAGTGCAGGGACCCAGAAACTTGGAGAACCTGCCCCTGCTTTCCCAGGTGCATTAGCAGGGAGCTGGGTAAGAAGTGGCTGCACTGCAGACAGCAGCTTAACTTGCTATGTCACAACACTGACCCCTATCAACTATTTTTAAAAGATTACTACAAAAAACAGACAGGTGACATAAGCATTATTTGGAAAAACATGTCCTAAAAGCAATACAAAGATGGCTCTAGGTACCTCTCAAACCCCACAAATGTCCTGGTTAGAAAAAACAACATTTGGGGAGGGCCCTGGGGTTCAGGAGATTCCTACCCTTGATCGGTTGGAATCCTGGCTCCTACGCCTGTCAATCAGCTTCCTGCGAAGGCGCCTGAGAGGCAGGAGATGATGGCCAAAGTACTTGCACTCCTGCCACTTGGCCTGGCCCTGGGAGGTGGGGTCCCAGGGGAGTGATCTATCCCTCCAACTCTCCTGTTACTCCACTTTTCAAATAAAATCTTAAAACTTTCTAAATATTAAAAAAAAAAAAAAATACTTTCAACCACTTTAGAAACTACTTTATGGTTTCTGATTGCTGTTGGCACACAACATCAAAACCACAGAATATCGCTCATGGGTTACTAAATGAAAAGAAATAAAAACGAGGCAAGTACATTCATTGCTCATCTTACAAAGGCATTAACCAGCAGCTACCACGATACTTGACATGAGAGACTGTGGGCTCTTCTGCTAAGGCTAGACAGACTGGAAAACTGCCCTTGCCTTCACTCTTCTACATGGCCCAGGAGGCACCAGACTGGAAACAAAGTCCATCCACCTACACTCGGGGATGATCCTGTAGGTGCAGAGTGCTAAGGAAATCACCAATAAATCACCAGGATACATCAGTGCAGCAGTTACAGGAGATACGATCAATGTAAAAATTCATTATATTTCAGCACTCTTGATAGCAAAGAACCTGAAAATGAAGAAAACCACTTACAACAGCATAAAAAAAATTTTTTTTTGTAGGTAAATTTAACAAAAGGAGGAGGACATTATCTGTACCCTGGAAACTACAAACGCCATTGAAAGTAAAGACTTAAAACAAATAGAAATATATCCTAAGTTCATGAATTGAAAAACACTAGAAACTCTACATAAAGCTACTCCAATCAAGACAGGATAGGTCTTCCATAAGGATAGGAACATACACCAATGGAATAAAATGACCAGAATAAACCCACAGACTTATGGGCAACTGCTTTTCCACAAGGGAGCCAAAATAATTCAATGGAACAAGACTGGTTGTCTCCAGGACAACTTAATAAATGCACACAACAGAAAGAAGCTGGACTCATAGATTACACAAGCAAGATAGAAAACCCACTGAAGATGGTCTAGGAGCACTGGGCGGAGGACGGCCCCTGCGTCCAAGCCAGCCTCCTGCCAACGTGCTCCCTGGGGAGCAACAGGTGATGGCACAAACACCTGGGTTACTGCCGCCCACGTGGTGATGCAAGATGGTGCTTCTGGCTTCTGTGCAGCCTAGCCCTAGCTACCACAGGCATCTGGGAGAAAACCAGTATATGGAAGATCAAACAAAATGAAAAATGGGCAGGAGAAATGGCTCAACTAGCTAATTCTTCTCATGTAAGCGCCAGTAACCCATATGGGTACTGGTTTGTGTGTTGGCTGCTCCACTCACCCATTCACGACACAACTCGGCTCACTGCTGATGCCATGGCATGGCTCAAAAGTCTTGGGACCCTGCATCCGCACGGGAGTCCTGGAAGAAGCTCCTGGCTTTGGGTCGGCTTGGCTCTGGCTGTTGTGGCCATTTGGGGAGCAAACTAGATGAAAGATCTATCCATAAATCTTTTTTTTTTTTTAAGATTTATTTTTATTGGAAAGTCAGATATATAGAGAGGAGGAGACAGAGAAGATCTTCTATCTGATGATTCACCCCCTAGGCAGCTGCAATGGCTGGAGCTGAGCCAATCTGAAGCCAGGAGTCAGGAATTTCTTCCAGGTCTCCCATGTGGTGCAGGGTCCCAAGGCTTTGGGCTGCTAGATCAGCATGCCAGGCCCTGTCCATAAATATTAAAAACAAAAGTACACTCATTTGAATTACATAAAGCCTCCCTAAGACTCACCAATAAGTCACAAACAGGGTGGAATGGGGCCATTGCTGTGGCACAGTACACTAATCCTCCACCTGCAGCACCAGCGTCCCCATATGAGCCTAAGTTCGTTCCCAGCTGCTCCATTTCCAACCTAGCTCCCTGCTTGTGGCCTGGGAAAGCAGTGGAAGATGACCCAAGGACTTGGGACCCTGCACCCGTATGGGAGTCCTGGAAGAGGTTCCTGGCTCTGGCTCAGCTCCAGCCGTGTGGCCATTCTGGGAGTGAGCCGGTTGATGGAAGACTCCTCTGTTTCTCCTCTCTGTAACTCTGTAACTCTTTCAAATAAAAATAATGTTTAAAAAAAAAAAAAAAAAGAGCCGGAAGATCTGAATAGGCACCTCGCCAAAGATGCACAAACAATAGGTAAGTAAGCATAAACAAGAGGCTCAACACAACATCACCACGGATGTATAAACTGAAACAATGAGGTGTCACCACACTGATTCCAGAATAACTAGAACCTACAACAAGGACTCCAAACACAGGCAAGGATGACAAGCATAGGAACTCGCCATCACTGCTAGTGGGAACGCCATTCCTCAAGAGTCGCAGTTTATTTCAAAGCCCACCCCACATCAGACCACATGAGCCGACACCCACACTCCTAGGGGTTTACCTAAGAGGTGACACGTAGGCCCCCCAGGACTCAGTGATACACAAGTGTGAAAAGGCAAGCAGGTCGTCCTAAGTGGGTGGACGCTGTGTGGCACATTCACACAATTCAGTACCATTCTGTGACAAAACAAGATAAACTATAAGCACACATCCACCCACCATGGAAGACGTTCACAGGTATTTTCCTAGGTAGAAGCACCAATGCGAAAACGACAAAGCGTGTAATTCCCACATAACATTCTGGAAATGGCAAAATCAGAGGCAGTAGTAGTGATGGCCCAGGGTTTGGGGAGAAGCAGGTGGAAGAATGAAGGACTTTCTGGGCTATTCAAATGAACCATGAGCGTAGATATATACCACTACACATCTGCCAAAACTCAGAAAGTTCAACGCCAAGTGGCCAATGACCTTTACTTACCTAATACACAATGAATGACACTGATTTGGTTCTATTCACCTTTCCTAAAGGAGCTAATAAGCTTTATATCCTAACACCATTCTGATGGACTGGGAGCAAATCAACAATTGTTAAGCCAACCAAGACTCAGCAGCCACCCCTAGGGCCTTAGCTACTCCATCTTGCCAGTTTGTTTGATCTGAAAGTCCAAGCCACAGAGGGAGAAGAGACATTTCCCGCCTGCTGGCTCACTCTCTAAACGGCTCCAACAGCAGAGCTGGCCCAGTCTAAAGCTGGGAGCCAGGAGCAGGAGTGAAGCAGCTGGGTCTTGAACTGGTGCCCATATGGGATGTTGGCACCACAGGGAGAGGCTTAACGCACTACTCCATAGCATGGACCTAGCTTTAAGAATATACATGGTTATCTGTATAACAGGTCCACAGCACAACCAAGTAACAACCAGCAGAAGATCTAGAAAACAATGAGAAGCCTTACATACAAGGCTTAACTTTGAAGCAAATGGTTTCAGCAGGAAAGGCTTATAAAGTCAACATCTGAAATAATCAACAAGTATGGTCTATCCTAAGCACCCATTTTCCTGAACAAAAGAATAAATTCTTAAGTGTAGCCTGGGGAGGACTCGGCGTGGGGCTCACCTTCCATGCACTCGTTCACAGACTCATAGTCCGCATACGTTCTGCCTTCCGGCCTCTTGGTCGGCTGCACCAGCAAAATGGTGTGAGACTGCAGGGGAAAAAGTGTTTTCAAAGTTGATATTTGAGAAATTCACAGTATTATATAAAACTCTTTTTAGGACATAATGATTGATATTAAAACATAATTACTGTGTTCACCTGCAGTTTTCATTTCTAACATTTATTTAAAAGGTTGAGACAGACAGAGCAATCCACTCCCTGAGGGCCAGATCTCCTATTCGGTGCAGGAATACCAGCACCTCAGCCATCCGCTGCTGCTCCTCAGGGACCCAGCAGGAACGGGCTCAGAAGCGGGGCAGCAGGAACCTGCACCCCTCTGGATGTGGTCACCATGGTGCCCCGCCGCCTGCCACCCCGCCTTCCTCTTACAGTCTGCACCCAATCGTGGTATCAGGAACTGGACGCCTGCCTCTGCCTCCCAAGGCCCACAAGAGGGCTTTCTCAAGCTCCTTTTACCTCCAGTCCAAGTTCGTTCCCAGTAAAAACAGATATGAGTTGATGAAAATAAAATCATCCCAAGCCTTGTGTTAGCCTGTATTCTTTTCCCAACCTTTGCACAACAGTGGAATCACATTTCCTTCAGGCCTTACACTCTAATATCAAGGAATAATATAAAACCGGCAATATGAAAAATTAAAGCATGGTTAACATCACTGTGAGTAAACTATGCGGCCTCAAAGAGCCATCTTTATCAAAATCACACATTTCTAAACACTAGACTCAAACAAAAGGGTTATAAGGAATGTGTATTGTAAGAAATGAACATGCCTGAAGAACAACAGACTTGGTCTTCCCAGTTCGGATGCCAGCAACCCTCTGCCTGCCCAAGACTGTGACAACCAGCAATACACTCAGACATTGCCAAATGTCCCTTGGAAGTGGTGGGGAAGGCATGACACCCAGCCTGAGCTCCTGCCCCTGCCCAATTATTCGCCACAGGAGGCCGATCAGTGAAATGCTAGCATGATGTAACTTCACTGTAAACTCAATCCTGAATCAAGCTACTGATATTTGCTTTGGCAACACCAGCATTCCTTCCCCACACAAAATAACTAGCCTTCGAATGACCCTTAGCAGGGCTCAGCACAACAACCTAGTGCCAAAATCCTTGCCTTGCAATCGCGCTAGGATCCCATATGGGTGCCAGTTCATGTCATGGTGGCCCTTTTTCCCATCCAGCTCCCTGCTTGTGGCCTGGGAAAGCAGTCAAGGACGGCCAAGGCCTTGAGACCCTGCACCTGTGTGGGAGATCTGGAGGAAGTTCCTGGCTCCTGGCTTTGGGTTGGCAGAAGATTTTTCTGTGTCTCCTTCTCTCCATAAATCTGACTTTCCAATAAAAATAAATAAATCTTATAAAAAACTGCACTCAAAATGGTTACAATTTTTTAAGTGGAAGTGCTTTCCTGGTGCCAGCTTTTAAGTATCACAAACAACCCTCAAATAAGTTTTGATTACTTTCTTTTCTGGAGCTGCTTTTCAGAACCCTTTGGTTTCACCAAAAAAATCCAAATGTTTGCCTTATCGGTTTCCCCCACTTTCTGGGCGGACTTGGTACGTGTCCTTTCTCAGGGGTACCGGGTTTTCTAGTTATTTAGTTTGCAGTAAATACTGTTGTATTTACATAACAGCAAGTGAAGATGGTGAAAACTCATAGTTGGGTAGGGGTGGAACTGATACAGAATTTCCTTCAGGAAATCCTTGCACCCTGAGGATGAGGCAGCAGAAACGGAGGCAGTGTGTTATTGCTGAAATTTCACAGTACCTACAATGTGTCCACTAACTTCAGGTACTTTCCCCAAAAACTATAGAGGAGGAGGGGAAGCCTTCCTCTCCATCGCCCCAAAGGCCCCGGCTGTGGAGGCAGGAACCAACAGCTAGGAACGGATAATCGCTCACTTCAAACACAACTTCGGGTGCTTAATTCTACTTGCAATCACGGTGACAGCCATCCAAGGAGGGGTGGTGGGATGGGTGAGCTGCCGTTGCTATGTTCTCAGACCTTAATCGGAGCATTTATACCAAGTACCACATGGTGGCATAAAAGGCAGCCACTCAAAGCGGCAGAATGACTTGTCCAAGGCCACACTGCTAGTTATGGAACTTGAGAAGCCAAACTAATTTACAGTGCTTTCTGGGAGAGAATCATGTTTTTGGGTCAAACATTGAAATAAATCGACTCTGGACAGCGCCTTCTGAACAAGTTCCCTGGTAACAACTTAAGTAGCCAGAAAGAGAAAAAAGTTTTCCAGATGGAAGTTCCCCTGAATTTTTCGTGGTCCCCATGTACATCTCTTTTTGGATTTAAACACAAAAACCCACCCATTCCACCACTGCCCGGCTCAGCCTCGGGAGACCGGACCTCGAGTGGGGCCTATCTCCCCTGCCTCTAGCCCCCGAGGGACTTAGACAAGGGACGACCAGCAGGATTGAGGACAGTTGATGCCTAACGAGGCACTTTGTGGAGTCTTCAGAGAAGGCGGGATGGGGCCCTGGGGGACCCGAAGACAAAGTGGGGGAGGGAGCGGGACAGGGTAGAGCGCAGGAAAACCAAAGGGGATGCTCGACAAAGCCCGCCTGGAGAGCAGATAGGAGCCCTCTGCGTTCCCAGGATCGGTCCAGGCAGCTGGGGCGTCTGTCAAGTTTCCGGGAGAGGATTTGTTATCCGTCCCTCGGCCATTGTTCCTACAGCAGCATGTTACCGCGCGTGGAGGGAGGGCCGGGCACCACCCGCCCGCCTCCCTCCACCCAGCGAGAGCAAAGCGTGGCCTCGGACCCACGGCACACGGCCAGGCCGGGGCGGGCGCGCACTCGGGGGCCGAGCCGGGATCCGGGGCCTACGGGCAGGCGGCGGGAAGCGGGAGCGGCGGCGGGCCTCGAGCTGCGGGGGCCCGCACGCGCGCGCGGGAAGGATCGGGCCCGGAAGGGACCGGGATGTAGGGGCGCGGGTCGCCCGCAGCGACGCGGGTGCTCGGGGGCAGCCCGGGCCTTTCTCACCATCGCGCCAAACTCCGGTCTTTGCAGCCGCTACCGACACCGTCGCCGCACACGAGCCAAGCCGCAACGCCGCCAACAGCCAATCCCCGCGAGAGGAGCCGGGCGGAAGTCGTCGGGAGCGCGACGCACAAGAACCCTCGGCACCATAGAGGCGCACACGCTTCCGGCGGCTAGAGTCGACGCGGATTCTGTTTCAGCCATCTTGGATAAGGGCGAAGAACTGCGTAGCCAAAGCCTTGGCGCTTTAGGAAAAGTGAGATTTTTAAAAATTTAAAGAGTCTGTCTTCCATACTCTTTTGATTACCCGTAAGCGTAAAACAATGGCTGGAAGAGACAGGGACATCGGGTCTCTCTTCATCAGCCCTCCTCAAAAATGGCGGCAGCAGAAGCAGCCCGGGCCATAGGTCGGTTGTAACCCGGAAATGCTTTTCTGAAGCGAGGCGGGGTGGTGGTGAAATTACCCGGAAGTGGGTGTAATGAAGAAGTGCCACTTGGCGGCCATGGCTGCTGTGGTATCCGCGACTCCGGGTCCAGGCCCGGCGGAGGAGAGGACCATGGGCAGCGCCGGGGATAGGGCAAAGACACCTTTATGTCATTTTTGCTGCTGAATCCCTAGCACTTCTCGTTAAAGACCGACGGGACTCCTTTCCCCCATTCCAGACTTGGCGGACAGTTGGCTGGGACCGGTGGGCTGGTCCCATTTCTGCGGGCGCGAGTGACCGCAGGGCCGGCTTCGGGGAAGCCGGGGCGCCGCCGGGAACCAGCAGCTTCCCTGGGACCGGCCTCCGCCGCCGCTGCCGCCCGGGACGTTGTCTGGAGGGAGAGGGGAGTCGAAGACCGAAGAAGTGACTCGTTGGCATATACTCCCTCTCCTTTTGTAAGTCTCGAGGATCCGGTGCCTGGTACCTGCCAACCCGCGGGCTGGATCCCAGGATTGCCGAAAAGTTCTCTGGTGCTAGTATCAGCCACAAACAAACAAAAGGGGGGTGGGGTGGGAGGGAGGGCGGGGAGTCGTTTCAGGTGCGTTCAAGGGAAAGGCGCCTCGTGGACACACCTGCTGGTAGGGAGGCCGGAAGAGTCGGAAAGCTCGCCTGCTCCCTGGCCACCGCCACACGTGTTTCGGGAAGCTGAGTTTTGGAACCTGGTGGTGGTGGTTGGCTAGAAGAGAGCAGAATGGATGATTTCCTGTCCATCAGTTTGCTGTCTCTGGCTATGCTGGTGGGATGTTACGTGGCCGGCATCATTCCCTTGGCTGTGAATTTCTCCGAGGTAAGACGTTTCTCCGTGTTCTGTGAGCTCTCGGGTCGAGGGGGTTCTCGCTCAGTCGTGGCAATTGTCAGGGCAGTGCTGCCTTTTGGTTCATCTCCAAAGCTGAAAGTCTTTCAGGAAGGAAGAACAGAGAGGTAGCTCCGAGGCGTAGCAAAAACAAAAACCCAGCGTTATCCAGAACTAGAGCCGATCGTCTAGGGTGGGCGGGGACCTCCCGGGACATTGCAGAACTTGCCTGCAAAGACTGGGCGCTCTGGGCATTGCCTGGAGGGTGGTGTCATGCCCCCATTCCTGTTCATTGTTAAAAGTGTCAAGGAGTCCAGACTGTTAGCAAGAAGGTAACTGGAGGATTGTCCATATGCGTAACTTCTTGAGAAAGCCAGATGTTTGGTTGAGGAAATCTAAGGGTCTTTTGGGGGGTATTATCTATACTAGAGGGTAGGTAAGAAGAAAAAGAAACGAGTAGGTTCTTAGGTTACATTTCTTTGAAGAAGTGCATTGCAGCACTTGTTCTGAAATTTGCCTTGAAATGCATTTTTGATTTATTATGTTTTACCCCTTGGGTTATCTGGGTTATCCTGTGTCGAATAAACACTAACAGAGAGGGAAGGCAGGAAGATCAAAGCATTGGTCAGTCAAAATGTAGTTCCTTTATATCGTCCTGTGGTGCATAGTGGTTAAAGATTTAGAGAGAGAAAGGATTATATTCACAAGTCGCAGGGTTTTATGAGTTTGTTCTGGAATTTGGCAATCAAGGAGGCTTGTCCTTAGAGTGCCTTCAGGGGGGGGTGGGGGGGTGGAGGGGGCAGAGGGCCCAAGGTAGAAAGGACAGGTGAGGTGGGAGGAGGGACAGGCGAGCCAGCTGGGTGGCAGGAAGAGGGCGGAGAAGTTTGGGGGAGGTACTGGCTGCAGCCAGCTGGAAGGCTGGCCACCACTGGAGCCATGCCTTTTGTCCGCACACCTCAGCCTCCAATGGCAGCGTTTTCTTGTTATGTACTTTACCTAGCTTCATTTTAGAACCCTTTGAGATACAGATGAGTGAACTAAACTCGGATTATGGAGTTTGTACAGGTTCATGCCATGTACTGCATTTAGAGCTCTGCTTTTAAAAAGCTTGATTTTTTTTTTTTTTTTATTAAGCAGTTCTTAGCCACTCTGTTCATTGAGGCAAAGGTCCAGGATACCTGGGACTCGTGTTGGGATGCGCGCATCCCTCAGCCGAGTCCTGGATCCTCTGCTTTTGGTCCAGCTGCCTACTGTTGTACCCTGAAAGGCAGGTGAGGATCCCCACATGTTTGGGTCCCTCCCGATCACAAGGGAGACTTGGGTGGAATTCCAGGCTCCTGACTTGAGGCCTGGCCCAGCCCAGGCTCTTGTGGGCTTTGGGGAAGTGAAGCAGAGGATTTATAGGATATAAATCCCTATCTCTCTCTCTCTCTCTCTCCCCTTTCCCTCCTTCCCTCTTTTGGTCTTTTCTCTCGCTCACTCAAGTAGATGAAAACATAAAACATTCTTGAAGTACATGCACCTGTTGTGTAAGGTAGCCCTGTTTGAGGGAGCTTAAAAAGTTCACGGGAAGTGTACTTACAAAGAGAAGGAGAAATAAAGATCTTCCGTCCAACGATTCATTCCCTAAGTGGCCGCAACGGCCAGAGTTGAGCTGATATGAAGCCAGGAGCTTCTTCCGGGTCTCCCACTTGGGTGCAGGATCCCAAGGCATTGGGCAGTCCTCTACTGCTTTCCCAGGCTTTAAGCAGAGAACTGGATGGGAAGTGGAGCAGCCAGGACACCCACGGGCACCCGTTCGGGATCCTAGTGTTTGAAGGTGGAGGATAGGCCAATTGAGCCATTGCCCCCCCTTTTGTTTGTTTGTTTGTTTAAGAGTTACTTTGTTTAGAAGTTACAGAGGGAGAGATGGACAGAGGTCCTCTATCTTCTGGCTCACTCTGGAATAGCTGCAACAGCTGCAGTTGGGTCAGACCCAACTTAGGCCAGAGCCAGGAGCCCTGGGCCGCATCCAGGTCTCCCGTGTGGGTGCAGGGCCCGAGCATTGGGGCCGTCTTAAACTGCCTTCCCAGACACATTAGCTAGAAGCTGGACCGCAGGTGTAACAAGTTGTGGCTGGGAACTTGGACCAGCACCCATTAGGGATCCAGGTTAACCCGGCCATGTGTTAACACCAGCCCTTCTAATTCGACTTTTCACAAACTTTTTGAAGCCACCTTATAGATTCAATTCAGACTTTTTTAGGTTAGCAAAACACTCAGTTTTATTATTACTGTATTTTTGTTTTGTTTGCCTGAAGTCCCTAAAGGTAACAGCTGTGTTAATTGGGGCACTTGGCCTGCCCAAGATTTTGTGAGCAGGCTTTCTTTTCTCTCATATAAACCAGATTTTTGTACAACTGCATTAGAGTTGAATTGGCTTTGTTAGGGCTAACATTGGGTTGCACATTGAAAGACTTAACTACAAATTAATTCAAATAAGCAACCAGTAAGACTTATTTCTATAAAATGGTTAAAATGCTCATAATTTCAGGGTATTCTCAAACTTTGCTGAGTGATGAGTGCAACGTGGAGGTATATGCTGTTTTCTTTTTCACAGAAAGGGAATGTCTGTGTGGGTGGCATTGTTAACCAGGCCGCGGACAAGGGGTAAAGGTCGTTGGGGTGCCGTGTCGTTTGTGGCTTTCCAGATTGACAGTCAGATGGTCTTTCCCAGCTCTAGGTAGTAAAGTGCTAGAAGTCAGCATCCATAGTAACTGCTGCTTGTTACAGCCGGAGCACTGCATTTCACTGCATTTCGGGCTGTTAGAATAAAAATCGCAATTACTTGTAACATAATAATAAGATAAATATAACAAAGTGAGACTTAAAATACAGTTGGTGTTTTTTTTCTCCCAAGAAGTATACTTTTTTCGAGACGTGGGGTGCTACTGGGATATGTGGATCTATAGTCAAACTGTTGAAATGATGAATCTGGGAAGCTATACTTCATCCACGGGGAGCTGCAGTGCAGTTTCTGCTTCTAGAAACTCCTGCGTTGTCTTAAGTGACTTTCCTTTTTAAGGAACTCTACCTTTTCTTAGGGGCTGATGTTACAAAAGGGTCAGGTAAACCTATTTTACAGTTTGTTTCCATTGACATGAAAAGATAGGCTTGTTTTCATGTTCTTAATCTTGCAAATGTTTTGTTCATAGAGAAAGTATGAAATAAAGACTTTGAAATTTCTCAGAGCAGGAATAATGACCAAATGACCAATATAGCCTTTAAATATGGCCAGGTGAGTATTTAGAAAGACTTTGTGGTCCAGTTGTCTGAAATTGCTGGAGTGGAGTCCATCTGATGCCGAGCAAAAGGCTGACAGGCCTCCGCTTTCCCTTTTACTTTCTCAGCATTCCTTACCCCAAATCCATCTTTGTTGTAAACTCTTTGGTCTTCAATGCCTAGTAATCTATAAAACAAAAGACAAAGCAAGTATAAGTGACTATGGTAATCAGAATGCCAGTCCTCCATGGAAAGGGCAAAAACTAAGCCAGCAGAGGAGGCCCTGGTGCTTCACACAGTCCTGTCCAGGAAAGGCAGTGCACGTACTGTTTAACACTGCCTTGTTTTCTTGACTAAGTTGCTAATGAGATGCTTTCTTTGGCTGTAAATACCCATGCTATATAAACAGGTTGAGAACCTGCCTTACCTGGTATAAACTCAATTTGGCAGCAGCACTGATCCATAAATTGACAAAGAGGTGGCCGAAGTGGGATTTTCCACTGATTGCTTAAGGATTTTTGGAGTGTTTACTTGGAATGTCTTCTGTCAGGGAGCTGGGAAAGAGAGC